ACTCGCGTTCAGTAGACACGATTCTTAAAATCGATTCCAGCAAGGATTTCCAGAATGGACAAATAAAATACATGAGCTGCTGGTACTTCTGTCGTTGTCGTACACATTGGGCGTAACTTCAGAGCATATTCCGCTCTGTGTTGATTGGAATGAGGGTGTATTGCCCACAAAGCACTCATCATGATAATGGCAGAAGAGATAGTTAGGCTAACTAGTAAATGTGTCGGTATGGTTTATAGAGATTATCGGGACCTCAATCCTATGACAACTTAATGCAGTATATGATGACCCTAGGTGCTCTAATGCACTTGAACACAAATAATCGGACGGCAGGGTTACAGACATTATAATAATGGAGACGGCCAAAAAGAAGTAGAATGAGATACGAAGGGAAGTGTCTATATAGTCCTAATTTTAAGGCTATATCACTTCCCTATGATCAACGATGGAACGATGATGATAAGAATAAGTATGAACCAAGATGCTCTGAAAGGTTTAGGGACAGAATTGTTGTCTGTAAGGGTGGAGTCAAGAATCCTCCTCCCATTCAATGCTTGGGTTTGACGATAGTTAGGGCCAATAGAGACTCCATTATGCCTTAGTGTCCTCAGCCTATTCAGTTGATCCTCGCTGATTGTCTGGATGGTCTTAGCAACAACCCATACCATAACTTCCTCACAATCAGGAGTAGTACCAGAGCCATTGTAAAGGTAGAAGTTGGTCGATAAATCTTGAGGGATCATGGCCTCCACATTGAAGGAGTCCAGTGCTCCCATATTACTATCGTTCATCGAGTCTAAAACCTCATTAAGCCCAGGCGCTGGATCACCAACCGTATAAAGAACGCCTATTGCAACAACTCCATCGGAGTGTTCTAAGGCTTCAGCGAAGTCACGATATTTGCTGTTGTAATTGGCGAAATGATATTCGAAGGCGTAGGAGGTACCATTGAACTGATGTTCACTTCCCCGAGAGCTGTCCATACTCCAGTGCATGTCCATATAGGTGAGACGGAAGATATCCTCCCCCAAACCATAAACACCTCTTACAGTGAAGTTGTTTGCATCGGGGACTTCCAAGGCCAGGTCAACCTCAGCATGGACAGTAACACCACGGGCAATACCATAATTGATAGAAAATGGGGGTACCCCAGCGTTGGGGGTCTGGATATTGATGGGACTCTGTCTCTGACCCGTTGTGCAGTAGCCAGGCCATGACCCTTGGTCACTATATGTCCATTCTTGAGATGTGGACAGGTAGCAACACGTGAAGAGGATGCTTATAGATAGATAACAACACATTATGAGGGGCTTATAATACTCTTCTGCGGATGAGATCCATCATGTATCATATGTGTCCCATCACCATGGCAACAAGGTTTACAGTCCATAATGTGGGGTAATGTATGGTTGTTATGAGGATTACATCGACTATGGAGAGATGATGTATCAAAGTGTAATTACGATATGAGATGCATGGCTTTGATGATGGTAGAAGATGCACTTCGGGGGATGGGAGGAGTAGACATGGCGCTACTACTACTGCTACTACTACTTGTCCCATCACCACTTCGAGGGATGGGAGGAGTAGACATGGCGCTACTATCACTGCTACTGCTACTACTACTTGTCGCATCACCACTTCGAGGGATGGGACGAGTAGACATGGCGCTACTACTACTTGTCGCATCACCACTTCGAGGGATGGGAGGAGTAGACATGGCGCTACTACTACTTGTCGCATCACCACTTCGAGGGATGGGACGAGTAGACATGGCGCTACTACTACTGCTACTACTACTTGTCGCATCACCACTTCGAGGGATGGGAGAAGTAGACATGGCGCTACTACTACTACTGCTACTACTACTACTACTACTACTACTACTACTACTACTACTACTACTACTACTACTACTACTACTACTACTACTACTCCTACTACTTGTCCCATCACCACTTCGAGGGATGGAGGAATAGACATGGCGCTACTACTGCTACTGGTACTACTACTTGTCCCATCACCACTTCGAGGGATGGGAGGAGAAGACATGGCGCTACTATCACTGCTACTGCTACTACTTGTCCCGTCACCTCGGGGAGAAGTTCCTCCGAGTGCACATGGTTGTTGGGGTGGGTCTGCCTGGTCATACTCCATCGTGTAGCTGCCGGGGTTACGCTCCACTCGGGTAATGTCCCCATATTTTGATAGCTTTTATGCACAAGATGGCTCCGCCTCTCGCCCCTGAGAATGTCAGTACTGAGGAGAGGGGGTACATCTCAGCAACCGGTGTTTTCCCTGCAGCGCCCACATATTCATGCTGCATCAGATGCAGTGCATCTCAGCCCTCAGTATCTTCTACGGCGTCAACCCAACCTGCTGTACGTTCATGGGATGAAAACACTCGCGGGGAAATCCTCATTTCTAAAGAATGGCCCTCTTTTCTACGTAAAGAAGTTTAGCGCACGCTCCCACCTGCATTTCGACTTAGCCTTGGATTGCAGCCTGGCCTTGGACAACAGTTCGGGGTTCTGGTTTCCCGTCGGGTTTCGGGTTTCCCTTTCTCCGCTTTCACCTGCAGTTCTTGTTTTTTTTGGAATTTGCAGTTTAGATTCTCACTTGCGTTACGGTCATCACGTGGATATCAACCTTCACTTTCCATTAATGGCGCGCGCTGATATTCTTCGGTTTTTATGCATCTCGCTTAGATTTGATGCAGTGTCCCCCATATCTTGCGGGTGGTGGGAAATCTGTATTGTATTCTCTATCTCTCGCTACACCTAGTGCAGCAACGGAGTTTATGTGGTCAAGTATAGGGCTGACCAGACCGCGCAGCAGGGAAAATAATATACAGTAGGCTTGCGCCGGTAATAGTGGCATTAATACACAGCAGAACGTACATTCGTGCTCTCCATTGTGTTACAGGGGCATTGTCTCGGCTGTAGGGGCATCCAGTGTGGGGGGACATATGCACATGGTCAACTACATGTGTTGGTGACGATATGGAAATTCTAAGGAAATTTTGGGAACTCTTGGTTGGTTTCTGTACATTTCTACTCTAGTTCGTATATGAACTCCTATAATCAGTGAGGAAAACGAAAACATATATTCCAACACTGGGGTTACCACTCGTCAACTTGTAGGAGGATTGAGCTGAATGGTCAGCCCTATGTGATGCTGCATAACGATTTGTTGAAAGTGAGAGTCTCCTCTGGAAGCCCCAGAAGTGATGCAGGCGAGCATGGCCCTTGATGATTGTCTCGATG